AGAAAAGGATAGAGAGTAAAACATAGGGGAAGATGGTACGAAAGTCCAGGTGAAGGGCCGCTTTTTCATTTCCAGGAAACTGGCAGGGGTTGAGGCACAGTGGATGACCATGAATATTAATGTTTTGCCAGGAAGTCAAGATTCACAGACCTCAGTATTCCTCAGGATTTAGAGATGAAAAGAGTCAGAGTATGACCCCAGTGGATGAAAATGGCCACAAACCTGGAAAGCAGCTTAGGTTCAATATCTCAATCTTGAAATCCCAAACTTACCCCTCAGTCTGTTTAACAATAACATTACAGTTCCCCCCTGTCCTGCTGTTTTGTTTTTTTTAGATACTCGCTCTCATTTTTCAGGTTGACTCTCTCTCTCTCTTTCTCTGGCTCTGAACAGTATTTCTGAGGCTTAATCTCCCATGAGACACACTGTAGTTGGCGTTTGAATTCCATTTGGACGGCCTGAATCATAGCTCTTTGCCTCTCTCCCCGGTTGGATCTGACTTTCCCCACTCCCTCATTCATTTTAAGACCTGTGCTTGCGATCTTGGAACAGAAGCACAGAAAAACAAAGGGAGAAGAAAGAGCAGTGACCTTGGTGTTAATGAGCAAGTCTTATCTCTAACAGAGAATGCAGTACGTATCTCACACTCTCATTCTCTCTGTTTATCCTTTTCTCTTTCAAAAATATTGTCCTTTTGTCTCCATATCTCTGCTCGCGCCTCATTCTCTTCTTCTACTTCATGATTCCCCCCCACCGATGATCTCTCGCCTCTTCTCATTTCATTACTCTTTGATGCTCAGACATATGTGGGACATCACACAGCCAGTTAGAGGTAGAGTAACACACCAAGGGTAGCTGGTAGAAGGACAAGAACAAGGCCAAAAGGGGGTTACCAGGAAAGAGTGCAATAGGCTGGCTAATGACACCACCATAAACACTGTCCTTATCTTCTACGTATTGTACAAAGGCCTTAGGTGGAGAGATTGCTTGTATTGGAAAGACAGAATAACAGAAACGCCCTATAACGCAGTAAAGCAGCTGTAAATAGAGGCTCACTGTAATATTTTTTGCTTTAATTTTCAAGAGAATGGTTTGTTCAGCAAATATCCTATTACATGTCTTTCGGTCACTGATGGTCTGTTTGTGACCACAGTAACTCTCTGTCAGTGCCGTTTTTCTGTTCCTGCAAATGTCATCATGATTTTTCTGTCTGTAAATCACAATTATAAAGACATCTACATATTCGAGTCATATTTTTAAATGTATTTGGACTGCCCAACTCTGAAACTCAACCTAGTCTTTTGTTGACTTACATCAGTCTATTTTGACAGCTTAATGTCCAATGATTATTACCACTATATAGCCACCCATAACTAGCATTAGCCAGTGCCTTACGGTACAGAAACACTGGATCTGTTGACTGATGTCAATGGATCCTTCTAATTTTCTATGGAGAGCAGGAGATCCAGCCACATAGCACATGATGGATACACCGAGGCAGGTTGAGTCAGTGTTCGCAGTATCTGAATGTGCATAAACATGACTCCAACTTTATGCAAAGGAGGTTCGTCCTGCCCAATCAAACTGTAAAACTAGGCAGTGCTGATGAAATATGAATCAAGATTCTGTTACTGCATTGTCTATTACTCGGCTCAAATGTTTGCAGAAACATACTTTAGTGTTCTGTTCAATCATAATATGTAAAAGTTTCTGGGAAGGCAATTGCCTGACAGTAATACTTAACAGGGTAGTCCCAGTGATTTGGTATCGCACTTTGATAAAGTTGGGAAACCCACAAGAGACAGAATGAATGAAGAATGATCAAAATCAGCAGAGGCCTCACCTGATCTTTAGCCTGTATATAATGGGTTAATCTCCAAAAACACAGTATCTTACAATTCCCATAATGCACCTCAACATTATCTTCCATTGATCCATTGATCTTCTATTAGATCAATGCTTCTGTATTGTACTCTTAAGTTTCTGTTATTTTGTCTAACCCTGTATGGAGGGACTTGTTATGCATATGTTTATCATTACATGTGTTTGCAGTGTACTCAGTGTTGTGGTGAGCAGAAGTGTGAGTAAAGTGGTGTTTTCCTACAATGATTGTTTTCATGTTATCATACAGTACTGTACTTTATGGCTGGGTCCACTGTATGAGAGTTTTACGTAACAACGCTAATGTGTAGCCTACACAGACAGGCAAAGGGGAGTTAAAGAGGTTAGCATGGAAGAGGCAGAGGAAAAGGGTCTGATTAAGTGTGGATATGGTGCATGTGATGTTTTTATTTCTTGATTTATGAGACTGTGTGACTGATGTGTACATCCGGGCCTTATAGTATGAGGCTTTCCCTGGTCTATATTACATACTGAGTTTATGAGGTGAAAGGACAGCTCTTATAGGAGGGGCCTTATGTAACCTAACTAATAGCAGAACCACTGTTGTCTTAAAGGGTCGTGGCACAAAACCAGGTCAAAGGGCAGGGATGGGTTGAGAGGAAGGGGAGTCTGGAAATGCCATTTGTGTGTGTGTGTGTGTGTGTGTGTGTGTGTGTGTGTGTGTGTGTGTGTGTGTGTTTTGTAATACTTCCTGTGCACATATTTTCTTTACCACTGAAGGAATGCATGGCACCTTCTCTGGAACAAGGTTCAGTAAGAGTCCATACAATAAATTATCATTTGTATGATAAACATGTAGTTCAGCTGCTGGGTCTCTATATACATAACTATGATGAAATGCTGCCTAAAGAAACAATGTTTATGACCCACATACCTCCACTCTGTCTTGGGAGGTTCCTCAGTAGCTCACCTGGTAGAGCTGGTGCCCCATGTACCAAGGCCATGCACAGAGTCCTACCTATGGCCCCTTGCCATCTCTCTCCCCCTTACCTGAATCTCTTCAGCTGCCTCTATCCATTAAAGGCATAAATAAATGTTGTAATGTTTGCATGTTTATAAAATGTCAGTAATGTCACAACAAAAGTCTACTGGGTGTGATATTGATTCAAGTATAGTAAGATACAGCCAACAGCTGGTTTGCTTAGTTTATACTGGAAAAGGGGAAAACAGCTAGACTGTTTAATATACAATCTTTTTCATGTTTAAGGAAAAGATTGTATGTTATGTAAGGTACATAACCTAAAAGAAGTCAACTTTGATTTTTGCTTTTAAATGGGACACAAACAAGGTTCTCCTGGAGTCCTGTGTTTGTTTGAGCCATCCATCTACCCAACCTCCTCATTATGAGGACTTTGTGGCTCTTTATACAACATCTAAGTCTGGTGGGTGTGTCCATAACGGATGCTCAAGGCTGGAGCACCTATGGGTCACTTTTTGAGGTAGAGGGTATTTGAGTTGGGAGTGAGACCAGGCTGTGTCAATACAATTTTATCAACTTTGACTAAATGATACAATAACAATAGGTGACAATTTATTTTTTATTTTATTATAGTCCTTAGACACACACACACACACACACACACACACACACACACACACACACACACACACACACACACACACACACACAGTGTTATGACAGAATGATATCATATTGTGTTTGACACTGTCAGTAATTGTTTGGATCCATTCTGTCCTTCCAGCACTGAGCTATAATTATAGTCAAGGGAGCAACCATTCACACAGGAGGAAAGTTTTTTTGCCGAGCTGCAAGTTTGGACTCTAACACACACACAAACACACACACACACACACACACACACACACACACACACACACACAACTACACACACAGTCTCACTCACACACATTTCCCCCCTGCCAAGCTGTGGCAATGTAGAGGCAAGCAGAGCAGCAGCCACTGATAGAAGCCTTGATAAGACTCATTTGAAATGGCTGCAGTCACTGAACCTGTCCGCTCTGTGTGCCAAGGACACCATTTACCTTACATAACAGCCATTCTGGGTCACTGACACATCCATCTATGCAATTTGTTTTCCTCAAGAACTATGTGCACCTTGACCTTAGCTTCCATTGTCCAATGTATCTCATGTTTCTCTCCCACACCTTCTCTCTCCTGGGCATGCTTTAAGAGTATTTGTGCTTTTTTCCCTATGATATGTATTCAGGCAGTGTTGCTAGACACATGCTAAATGATGATTGAGAAGAAGTATTTGTGGTGAAATGTCTTCAAGAGAGTGTGTCACTGTGCAGCTGTCACATGAGAGAAGATTACTGCTAAAGCTAAGACTAACTCACTCTTGTGAAATGCTAACGTGACCCTCAGATATTTTACTTAAAAAGTGATGATGAAGACTCTAGCTGTGTTATTTATTCATTTTAACTGATGTGACATTCAACTCTTTTGAAGGATTAAAATGGCCGTCATATAAGTATGCTACAGAACTTCCATATGTGTTTCCCTCAGCTTGGCTCATCACTTGTCACTACAATGAAAATAGTCCAAATTACTAAAATAAGTTTTTACATAGTTTAATGTTCAAAATTAAAAGATAGAATAAAGACTTTGAAGGCTTTGAAATCTCCAAATAAATTGCAGTGTGTATTAGATTTATGAATCCACAGCAAGACCAGTTAATACCGTAAAATGCTGAGGTTATGAAAAGGCTCAAGAACAATACTTGTTTATTATTTAGGTATTAGCTGTTAAGAGAACAGCTTGAAATGTTAAGTTTAAGAAATGTATCAGTTATAGGGTTATGATATATGGTTGTTGTTTAGGACTCCTCCAAAATCACCATTTTTGAAGATACATGGTAGATGGTAAATGTTGATAATTAGCTTAATAAGGTATTACACCACCTAAACAACATGTCACTAAATTCAATCTCTAACAGACACTTTGGATGGATGATAAGGCTCAGCGTGGGTTATGGTTATGGGTTTAACAGAATGATTACATAATTAAATACTGCAGGCAGACAAATGACCCTTTCTCAAAGAGGCTTTTATTACATGTGATGTATTTGCTTTGAAACTTTAGGCTGAATGAAAAACAAGTTATCCTTCACTTACAGGTCAGGAAGTGGAAGATGCTGGCTCGCCATCATGGCGACGGTACAGGCAAGCAGAAGGAAGCAGAGTCAGATGTTCACCTGGGGGGTTGTCAGTCCTGGGGGATCCACGCCTCGCCTCTCCTGGCCAGCCCTGTCATGCTGGAGTGCTCAATCTGCAGTGGTCCCTACATCAGCTACGCCCTAGAGGATACCTGGCAGCCACGTCAACGCACACAGGCAAGTTCATTCTGCCTACAGTTAATTTAATTAAAGGTAGCAAACATTCATTTATTACAGTAATCAGTAGATCCAGGTGTGGAAGATTTCAGGAAATTGTTAACGTCTTTGTTATATTATACAATAGATATTCACAACAAACAATAAAAGATTATTATCGCTCAGTTTTCTCAGATGGTTAATTATATGATACTGGAAGTTGACAAAATAATGAGTTGAGTAAATTGTTATGATTGGAAACACAAAAAAGGTGTACAAAAGGTAACATGACATTTGTAAAGCCCAACATGCGGGACAGTTTGTGTGTGCCATAAGTTGTCGTGATTTTAGAGGACTACTCTATACACATTTTTTTCTTTTCCTAAAGCACCTACAGTTTAGCCGCAGATCATTTGGCTCTGTAAACTGCAGTACAAAGTGCTGACTGCCACATCGATTTTATTGCTGACCAACGCTGTTAATTGTATTCAACATAAAATGACCCACTTTTGTAGCAATGCTTGTAATTGTCCTGCAGTTACTTCAAAGTTCATTTCGGATTTCAAACATTTTATACAATATTCTAGACCCAATGGTATTATTGTGGCATCAACATTTTTGAGTGCCATTGAAGCAAGCCAACAGTTGCACAAGGTAATATTTATTATGCCTGCACCTTCTTTTTTCTTAGGATCTTATGTCATAACATAGGAAATCCTTTACAGTTCAGTTGCTTTACACAAATGGTTTTTAATGGTTATTCAAAATATAACATCAAAATAAACGATATTATAACGCACTATGATTCGATCTTTGTTGTAAATATGGGAAACTTCGGAAAAGCAAGAATTTTAACATTGAAATTAATAATATATGGTGAATAATATTATATTTGTATTTTGGTGCACAGAAACCAAGGAAAAACACCCAGAGCAACATACTAATTTCTTTGATGTTAAAGGCAAAATATTCCGAGCCCTTTCACTGTCAAATTCTTTCATCTTATGACTCACAGCCAAGTCATACAAGCCTCTACCTCTCCTTGACCCTTACACAAACTAAAAGTCTCTCTCTCTCTCTCTCTCTCTCTCTCTCTCTCTCTCTCTCTCTCTTTACCTCTGCTTGAACAACCAAAACTTTCTGACTTATTTTGGAGACATAAATCAGTCGATGAAATATTAATGAACCGAAAGCCTAGATTTACCATCACTATGGATACAACTCCATCAGGTCTCTATAGTGAATCAATGCACAACCCGAAGATAGGGAGGGAATGAGCATAGGAAGAGAGGACAAAGGGGCATGAATGGTAAAGTTTTTTTGACTGCAGAGAGACATTGACAGTATAAGAGGATATGAACAGCAAGCAATATGTGTATGTGTGTGTGTGTGTGTGTGTGTGTGTGTGTGTGTGTGTGTGTGTGTGTGTGTGTGTGTGAGAGAGAGAGAGAGAACAAACTGAGAACAAAAGATGGATAGACGAGGCTGCTGTCAGCTATATTAAGACTTATATGGAGATGAAATGACCAGCATGATAGGCAGATTGTTGAGAGTATTGCCTCTGAATGAAGAAACAAACTGATGAGGTTGAAACACACACACTCACACACACAAACAGACATGCCTCAGCTTGTCTCGTTCTCAGAAAACACCCATGGGAGAGTACTGAGAGCTGCGATAAGTTTTCAGAGCTGCAGCGTGGAATAGCAAACTAGGCTAAGACTGTATTTAATAGACACTTTGAAAAGTCGATGACTGACAGCGACAATCACTAAAAGCCAAATATCTGACACGACAGCGCAGTTTCATGGGAACGTCCTGAGATGCAAATGCTGCCGGTCCTGTGACAGCTGCCAATTATAATGCTACTGTATGTGAAAAGACAAAAGCGGGACAGTCTTGACTTTGTGCGCGTGTACGTTTGTGCACATTCACTTACACGTTGCTGAGCCGTTCACCCTGCCACATACAGAGCCATGTATTGACTTTTCTAACCTGATGTGGCAAGTCAAAGGTCAGCACTCACAAACAATTACATAAACAGCCCTCCAGTGATGGAAATCTACTCAAGTGCTTTACTTTGATTGTACTTTATATGAGTATTTCAAATTTATGAAATATTGTACTTTCTACTCCTCTGTATTTGACAGCATGAGTTACTAGTTCCTTTTCAGATTAAGATTTTACATTAAACAACATTTGATACACTTATGAAATTAAATGCCTTGTTAAAGATTAAACCATGTGGTTCCCAGCCTTTATTGTTTGTGGCATCTTACAAAAATCTGTATCTTGGGCTCCCTTATTATCAAACATTTAACCATAAAAAGCAAACCTGATAGTACCCCTAAGTAGGATTCTGTAATGGAGTATTTTTACATTCATTTATGGGTAATTTTACTTAAGTAAATTATCTGAATACTTCTATGTGCTGTTATCAATTCAAGGGAATGTTACATTTTGCAGTAGATTCCTAATTACTGAAATAATTGTATGTTTAAGTTTGCATTCAATTATATGTTGCAGTTAACTTAGGCCAGCTTAGCAAGAAGCTGTTCCTTAATAGACAGAAAGTGTGGACAAGCACACACTGTAATGTCAACAGAGCAGAAGTCATTTCTTTGCCCAAGGTAGAGTAAGATCAGTTTCATCCTGACGTTCAGTCTCACTAAAGCACAATAATACTCTGTTGTCATGTTGTTAGAGCAGAGCTTTCTCACCACTTTCTGCACAGGACTCAAGTGATTTAATGCAGACTCACCCTGGAAACTCAGCCCCATTAAAAGACGTCATGTGGGGGACCAACTGAAAACTGGGGAATGAACAAGTCTGGGTCAGAACCAGTGCTTTAAGAAATGCTGATTTAGAGTGCTGCTGTTCAAAAACATCTCTTAAAGTCATTGTACTCTTTTCAAGAGCTAAGAAAAGCATCAGCGGTTTCTAAACTTTTTTGCTTGTAACCCCTTTAAAACAAATCAATATTTGCCTTATTTGTTTATCAGCAGTTCAACCAAGAAGTGCTCTCCTATCCTACAAATCATCTTGCAACCCCTTAGACTTGTCTTGTGACCCCTTGTGAGGGGTCCTGACCCCAAAATTGGAAAAGCACTGACCCTGACTGTATCTTGGCCAATTGTATCTTTGAATTTGTCTAATCCACTTTAAAGAAAGTCATAAGCCAAAGGGCTGTATAGTTTTCACAAGATGTCAAACACCCATTATCACTCAACTGAACTGAAACAAGAACTAAAGAACAAGAACCAATACTGGTGTTACAGGGTTGCTTGAATACAGTTCATGATAAGTATGTTGTATTTTCTGCAAGTCATTTTTACTGTATATGTATACTGGAACATGGACTTTAGAACACTTGCATTGAGGAAAATCAATCTGACTTTACATTTTATACTTTCTATTTGCATTTCTTTGTTGCAGACATATTCACATTGCTTTTACTAAGTGATGCCATATTTCTCCCTCAGGCGATGGACCTGTACTACCACAATGAGTCAGACCCAGACAGCTACTGTTGCCCTGGCGACAACGGTAAGTCACCAGCAACTAAGCCTGTTGTTTTGTATTCCTCTACTTCCTCCTGTCTTTCCTTCTTTCCCATCAGTCTTTCACAAACTCTCATTGCTCTGTTACCTTTCTCCATCATCCATCCCTCGCCATCAGCCTCACATCGTTTTATTATCTGCACTTTGGTTTATTTTCTCCATCAGTCCAAAAATTATCTTCTACCATTCATTTTCTGTCTATTTTTTTTTCTTGTTTGATGTTTCGTTTCCATCCAAATCTTCTGGCTGAATGATTCAGCCTGCACACACACATTGTAACTTTACCTTACCACTTGGCTCTCTGATCCAACCTCTAAGCTCCCAGGATAATAACTGTTGTTCATAAACCAAGATGACTATTTTCTGTCCTGTGGAAACTGACTTGGAAGGCAAAACAGTAGTTACAGACACAGTATTGATCATCATACACATGACACAGTGACCTTTTCGGCGTCTGTGTACAACTTTTGCCACTCTCTGCAGCAGAAATACGAGTGTATGATTCTGTGCTTGTTGCATACTGTACATGCGTGCCACTGGGTCAGAGTCCAGTATGAGTTTATAGCCGACTGTAAGTGGCTGTGCTTTAATTTTCCGTCATGCCCTTTATTTCTGCCACAAATCACGGTCCAATCCAAAGTACACAACATGTGTGCGTGTGACATTTTGGCATAAGCCTATCTATTCCCTTTTTTATTGTTACCTTTACCTTTGCTTGGAATCTTTCATGTACCAAGACAGAAGCTCTTCTCGTGAGTGTGTGAGTATTTTTAGTAACAACCTTAATATGTCCTTTTACTTCAGGCTCAAAAACATTATCGAATTCTGTGCATTTTAAAATGTAAATCATAATAAGCAGATGAACACTTATATTTAACATATTATAATTTGTGATGCATTGCATTGTTGTAACATTATTTTACTTTCCCATGTAGGAACTATTCCTTTCCACTCTTGGATAGTATGCACATATTTGTCACTGGTGGGGGAAGTATTTAAGTAGAAGTAGCAATACTGCAACATAAAAATACTCCTTTACAAGTAAAAGTCCACTGAAGATCATCTATAGAACATCTATAATATTGCATCGTATTTTATAAGCTATGTTTTTGTATGTAACGTCTTCATCTGTAAAAATTGAAGTAACTAGTAAGATGTATGGAGCATAAATTGAAAATACTCAAAGTACATGTGCTTCAAAATAGTACTTGAGTACAGAACTGGAGTAAATGTACTTAGTTACTTTCCACCACCGCTGGTCGTTCTGCGCTACTGCAGTAACACTTTGTGGCAGATCTGCAGGTACCTGCTGCCTACTGGAACATCTCCAAGAAAGAAATGTGACAAGAACCATATTGTGATGAAAATGTTTTTCTCTGGGAGTAGTCTGCCTGTTAATTATGGGAGTTTTCGGCATACGGAGAGAAATCTGAGCAATTAGCCGAGCTGGTGACAAGCTGTTCCTGTGGTCTCGGCCATGATGCTGTTACACCCTGTTGTTCCTAGTTCAGCAATTAGTGGCTGCAGGAGCGCTTAAAAGTTAAAATTTGTCACATATGAGTCATTTACAGTGATGCAGCGATGTGTGCGGAGGGACCAGTAGAGAGCAATGATGGAGAGCGAAGGATAGATCCAGTAGTAATAATTATAGTGAGCAGAGTTCTGACCGTCTAATTTTACAGAGGAACAAAATGGCAAACCATGTCTATGTTATTTCACTCCTCTCAGAAAAAGTGGTCTTATGTAACAAAGAGCATCTGCTGAGGATACCCTTATTAAACGCATTAGTCTGTTCATCAAGTTGCTGCAGCGCAGTTAATCAGCATTTACACACCAACATATGGAGCTTTCCTTCCTGAGACGCCAACAGGTTTATATAACGTGTGATTACAAAGCCTGAGTGTGTGTGTGTGTGTGTGTGTGTGTGTGTGTGTGTGTGTGTGTGTGTGTGTGTGTGTGTGTGTGTGTGTGTTCTCAAACTTAACTCTTTTGTTCTCAGTGACGCAAAATAATATCAACATTGCAGCTCCATTTCTGAAGCTGTTATTTACTCTTTTCTCGTACCATTCATAACGCGTTGCTCACCTGTGTCAACCTGCCCTTCAAAGCTAAACAGGCAAACATACACACCTACACACTGACACGCACATATTCAGATACAACACAAACAAATGCATAAACTTTATAATCCATGGAGACACTCCCAAACCAGAGACTTTTGACAGTTTGGAGAAAAGTGTGTGAACGTGTTTGTTTCCATTATATCTTGACGATTTACAGTAAGTGCTGTAATTTAGACAGATTTGGGTGTGTGTACTACATTCAGAGCCAGGAATGCCAACAACATAATGTACTCTTTGTCCTCTAAACCTACGTTTGACCATCACAGCCTCGACCTAATTCTAGCCTTAATCCAGAAGCTAAATCCGAGCCCTTGAGTGCACCACTAAAAGAACGTGGATCATTCAAAATCTCTTCTCTTTTTATGTTATTTTCTAAAAGTCACTTTTTCTGTGACCTAGAAGGCAACTTTCCCACTTTCTGACGGGGACCTGTGTTGAATGTCATTCCCTATCTTTCTCTCATTTCCTGTCATATTTCTACTGTCACTATCTAATCGAGGCATAAAATGCAGCCCCAAAATACTTGCCATTGTCTTTTGATCTTTAAAAGCCAAAAGAGTTCCTTCAAAGACAGAAGTACTAGAACACACTGCAGAGCTTTATTTTATGAATTCGTAATTTCCTGATAATTTCCACAACCCATAAAATATTTCCCGGAAAGAACAGCAACTCAGTATTAATTAGAAAAGTTTGATCTCTAGAGGACGTTCCTTAAAAGAATCATTCTATTATAACCTAATTCTCTACACTCTACACATTTTTGCATTTTAGTTGACCTGCTTTGCACTAGTTGTAGGTTATGCTAGCAGTTAACTGGAATGTGATAATATGATCCCTTCCAGGAACTTTACAAGGAACTGACAATTATGTGTCAATTAATTTCTGGGAAATTATTATGAAACGGGGACCTACAAAATGAACACACACGCGCAGAGTCCACTACAATGGTGATCGATGACAGTCTATGGAGGTAGCTGAAGGCATAAATAGGATTGGTAGTGCCAAACACTCCACACACACACACTGACAGTCCACCGTGGCAAAATAAAAGCCTGGCTGTCCTCTTTGAATAGCCGAGGCCTTTATGTAACAGTGTCATTTGGTTCCTCACCACCGAGGCTCATTCACATTCATCGCCAGATCAACTGTAGCCACAAACCCCCTCATCATCCCCAGCACAGAGCGCGGACATTACAAGATGGAGGCATGGGAGAATGAAAGGGATGAACCGCTTTAAGGGATGGATGTCATCTTCCGGAGACAGCGTGAATATGGGCATACGTTGGTCTTTGTGTATGTGTGGGTACACAGTAGGTGGGTGGGCTGAGGGAGTGTGTGTGTGAGTCTTTATGTGTGTGTTTGTGTTTGTAATACAACTGTAATATCAAACTCTCTTTTGCACTGCCTCGTGACCCTCCTCCTGTCCTTTCACGAAATGGCCCCATAAGAGTGTGTGTGTGTATGAGTCAAAGCTGCCTTTGGCAAAGATGGCAGTCCCACTAGTGGGTTACATAATGTACTAGTGTCTCTGTCACACATACATACACACACACACACACACACACACACACACACACACACACACACACACACACACACACACAAAGGCAATAAACACACAGCTTGAATATTGTGGAGGCTCCTCTTGTTCAGGGCCCAAATGTGAGCCTTTTAATCCAGACGGGAACGAGGGCCAGATAGGAAAAACACTGAGTGGACTTTTTGTTAGTATTGCTCCCTCTCTCTCCCTCTTTCTTCCTCTCTCTCCTGATCTTCTCTCAACGCTTCTCTCTCATTTCATTCAACTCTGGGCTATGACCGCAGATGCAGGCGCAAGAGCTGCACTTACATCCCAGCGGAGGTAAAGTCTTCTTCATCCCTTTTAATCCTCTCCTCTTACGTGTTTGAGTTCTTATTCCTTGGATGGAAATGCAAAGTAGCTGCTCTTCACTCAGAGTTTAAAATCAGTCTCCTTGTGTACATTTGTGCAAAAGACTGCAAAGTTTTCAAGGTCAATGTTTTTTTGTTTTTTTTCTGTATATAGCACGTGATTTCCCTGTATTCTTTTTATCTGAGAAAGCAATATGTGAGGTTTCACTTGTTTGGCGTGTGATGCTTTCAAGTGCTGATAAGAGATGTCGGTTTTTGTCCCACGTGGAGCGCTGCTGTAGTGTCAGTGGTGACATATTGTAGATTAAATGCCTCTTGAAGGATGGCAGTGCTGCGGCCTATGCTGTCTCAAGGAGAAATATCTTTTTCTAACAAACTGCGCAAAAGTTCTCAGTGCTGCAGTGAGGGAGAGGCACGTTGGACACCTTCAGGGAATTAAGGAAGTACCTGATGTGCCCTTTTGCTCTCTTGGTGTGCATGTTCTGTCAGTCTCTCTGCAGGTTTGTTTTTGCCCTCCAGGTTGTGCGTACGTGTGAATGCGTGTGTGTGTGTGCTGTCAGACTTCCTGCAGGTTTGTTTTGCCCTCCAGCTCTGCGTGTGTGTGTGTGTGTGTCCCCGTGTGCATCAGGTGGCTATGGGGGACAGATTAATAATAGATTTGACCTGAGTTAAGGGAGAGACAGAGACAGCAGTAAAAAAGTTGAGGCTATATTTAAAAACTGCAGCATCACACATGAATGAGCACAAAGACGTTCTCTGAGAGAGGCCAGGGGTCAGGAGCAAAGCACTTTCTCTCTCTCTCACACACACACACATATATAGAGGCATAATCCTGATTCTTAGTAATTTGTGGATGAGCCTTAATTGCTGCCTGTCTTTGGCTCTGTGTTTGCCTAAAAACAATTCACTGGTGCTGTGGCACAAAAGCACAGAAGCAGACATGAAAAATGTAATCTCATCATCGTCTCATCTCTTTTTATTCCCTGTCAGACCCACATTTCCATGATGCTTTCTTTACTGCGTCATTGGTGTACATTTCACCTGTCCAGCTCGATGCTTTCTCACGTCTATGTTTCCGTTCGTATATTCCCTCTGTTCTCCACTTTCTCAAACATTTGCGAAGGCAAAAAATCAGCAAAATATTATCTTGAGTAGGAATGCACTAACTAGTTGGAAGAAGAGAGCAATTCATCAAGAGATATGGTTAATTAATATGGCCTCAACGTCTGGACAGCTCCCAACTTTGAATTAATGTGAACTCAGTGAATTTCCAAAGACGGGTTACTTTTTAATTCAGGGCTCAGTGAGTGAATGACCTCAGCTAGCAGACTGGAGTGGAAAAAAACTAGTGAGGATGAAACTGAAGAGTTTAAGAAAACCAAATGCTTGCATTTACCCTTTATCCAAGCCAGTTTTTGCCTTTATGTTGATGTTGAAAGATGACAAATATGATGATAGTGATATGTTGATAATGCAGGTTCACTGCCATTAAATAACATTTTTGTATAATAAAAGTTTGATTCCATTTTCCAGTATTTTCTTATACTTTACAGGCACAGAAATATTAATAATTTTATGGTTCATCAATCCATTAGTCATGTGTTTAAACATTTTTTATCGATTTAGTTGCAGGGGAAAGTAGCTGCAGAAATACAATTAAATAATAAGAATAAATAAATACATTACTTTCGTTCATTTTATAGTGAAATAAAAGTTAAGTCTATATTTTCAATGACCTCAAAAGTAGGAGCTTATGAGGAGCCTTTGAAGGCAGCACAGCCTACACCCCCCGCCCTGAGGAAAACTCATGCAACCATGCATGAAACACACAACTGTAGAGTGGAAGGAAATAGAGGCGGGACGTCTCCGCCCTGAAAAGAAAGGAAAAAAAGAAAAAAACTTCTGGATGAAAGTCTCCAAGAAGAGGAATGCGGTGTAGTTCGATTACCTGCCTGCCGAGGAGCCTATAGCCTATCTGCTTGCTGTGATTCGGAAAATAAAGCATCCCTATGAAAGACAAAACGACCGCTTTGACGTGTAAGTAGTCTGCATGTTGGTTTGGAAGACCCAGAGATGAGTTTCTCCAATCGACAGAAATCTGTATGATATTCCTTTAAAAGCGCTGTAGAAAACTGCGGATCGATAATAATATGATTGTGGGACGTAATGCTATGTCTGCGTTTACCAGCATATTGTGATATTTATAGTTTCTCTTGTAAAGCTAAAGCTCCCAGCCAACTCTCTCTCTGTGTGTGTGTGTGTGTGTGTGTGTGTGTGTGTGTGTGTGTGTGTGTGTGTCTGTGGTGGGGAAGAAAGCACTGGCAGACATACTTGGGGGGCGCTCCATTCACTCCATAACATAATCCAGTGACCTGGATTTATGATGCTGTTATCTATAGAAACTCCTCGCTGATAGGGGGTCTGTTAAAAGTGCCAGAGAAAGCTTGGCAACTCTACTTTTGCAACTTGTTGAACTCTTGCGCTGCAGGCAGCAAAATGAGAACTCCTTCAGATCTCAAAGGTTTGTTTGTTTTCCATGGAAACTGTGTCTGATGTGGGGTTTTTTGGATGTAGAACAGGCAATTAAGACACGTGAAATTATACAGCTTTTTGTGTTTTTACGCAAGACTGTAAATGTTTGTATTGCGCAGGTAAAGTTGCCGTTGATTACTTACATTGTTACATCTTATGTTTGTTTCTATAAGCTGTTAAAACAACAACAAAACTGCTGTACTTACATTTGGATTAGTCTGTATGTTTCTCTTTTTACGCACCGTGATCAATATGCAATAGGCTATCAGTTGAGTTTGGCCTTCATAGGTGATAGTCTTGCATAATTTCATTCCACTCAGGGGTGTAGATAAAACTTGAACCAGGTGACTTACATAACCGAGCCTGACTGAGCCTGTCTGTGTGCCAGCGCACGAAACGCAGCACAAACTGGCATTTTTTTCCCCTCATTATTTCATTCTGATCACCACATTGAAGTGTTTTGGTCGCTTCCGAGAGGTTTACCGGTAGGTTAAAACAGAGTGTGGGTCTGATCTCTTTCTCCCTTTTTTTATCCCCCCATCTGAGCTGGAAGTATTTAGGAGTTTCTGCGTCTGTACTTTTCCACTACCAGCGGCTTTTTTCTTGGCACGGGGCCTCCCTCGGCTCAGGCTCTCCCTCTCGTCTTTTGTATAGGCTACCGAGGGGACCTGCGTCACTCCCGGCCGTTTTAATTGAGAAGCAGCCAAACAGTGAAGATGATAGGCCTAGTTGAGAGGCTATCAGATTATTTGTACAGGACCAAGCTGCAAACTCGGGGGGGGGGGGGTTAGATGGGGGGCAAGGGTACACTGTTTCAGCAAGGATCTTGGAAAATAATAATCCCGAATCTCAAGAACTCTCTTCAGCAGTTTCACCTCATGTTCGCCTATGTATACAATCTGGCGTTCATTCTGCACCCCTGGAACATTAAATGGCACCATATGTTTCTCAGTGGACACATCTGGATGTCATGAGCCTATAGGATTTGTTGCTGTCCTGCTGTTACTGTGACACATGGGATGTTAAGCAAAGTTGCTATGGTGTTGCACAAACATATGTGCAAATAGTGAGTGGTGGTGAAGAACTTTTTTTTTTCTTCCTTTTTTCTGATGTTTTTGACGCAAGCACACATTTTGAGGCGCGGCTATGACGCGTTGGGAGCGCAACGGCCTCTGATTGGTCGAGAACGGGATCGATCATCTTCTCACGCTCCACTTAGCAGAACGAAATTTTTTGCACAGGATCACACCCACCAGGGGGTGTGGGTTTGTGTGTGGGCCAGCTCCTCCCTCCCTGCCTCCCTCCTCCTGGCCTGTTATAAAACAAGAGCCAAAAGCAAGGTAGATTATATTTTGCATTGGGCAGTTGAAGAGTGCAGGGCTACAGTTCAACTCATCACATCATGACGATCAAAACAGAAACAGAACAGCCTGTCCTGACTTATTCGAAATCTAGAGGACTAGTGGCATTAGTCACCGGTATGGAATCATGGCTGGATATTTTTAAGCTGATTCTTCATGGCATGGATGGACATCTTTTTGCTTTTTATTTCAAAATCTAAACTTTATTTTTGTTTTTTCTCTCTCGTTGCAGCTTTTATGAAACAAAGGAAGATGGGGCTGAACGACTTCATTCAGAGGCTTGCCACAAACTCCTACGCCTGCAAGCAGTGAGTACCATCTGACTCATGTTATTGTTCTGAATTCACTGGAGGACAAAACATTGGGAAACACAACCAGAAATGCCAGCTATCTGTCCTCTGGGGAAACTTTGTGACTCAACTGGTTCACATAAAAAAAATGCAAACATGCTTTGTTATTAGATTAACTAAGTTTGAACTCTTTGTGTTTTTTCAGTCCTGACGTTCAGTCTATTCTGAACTTGAGTCCTCCTCAGGATGCTGAGCTCATGAATACAAACCCGTCTCCTCCTGTAAGTACATTTGCAATTAACTTCCTTTGTTTACATTGTGCCATATGCAGGGATACGCACACATCCTCTGTTTACATGTTTACTGTCCATTTTGTGGCTCATACTACGGCTCTAACTCCTTTTCTTCTTTGCTCCCCCTCTCATAGCCCAGTCCATCCCAACAGATCAACCTTGGTCCGTCCTCCAACCCATCGGCCAAACCCAGTGACTTCCACTTCCTCAAGGTGATCGGCAAGGGCAGCTTCGGCAAGGTGCTGCTTGCACGCCATCGTACAGATGACCAGTTTTACGCAGTCAAAGTCTTACAGAAAAAGGCCATCCTCAAGAAGAAGGAGGTAAATGCACTTCTGAATCAGAGTCAGGTTTCTTGCAGGAGGTTGTGTTATGGTGCATTACTATACACATAGTGAGCAGAAAATATAAAGAAAGTATGGAAACACATGCAGACGTGCCTTCAATTTGAAAAAAACGAAAGTACACAACAAAAGGTGTCTTCTCGTCAACCCAGCTAAACCCTTGCTCTTTGTATTCCTCAGGAGAAACACATCATGTCAGAGAGGAATGTGCTGCTAAAGAATGTCAAGCACCCGTTCTTGGTGGGCCTGCACTACTCTTTCCAAACAGCAGACAAGCTCTACTTCATCTTGGACTACATCAACGGAGGAGAGGTGAGTTACTGGCTGGGATTTGAAGCAGAGATGATTGAGGAGGAGGGAGCAGCTGGGCTATTTAAAGAAGGAGCTAAAGATGAATGAATAGGGTAGATGGGAATTTTTAAAGATGGATATAGTTGGAGGAAGGAGGGAAGAGACAGACCTTTTCGTAAAGGATTTATTAAAGCGCCAGAATCAGAGATAAAGATGAGGCAGAAACACAGACAGACAGGGGGGATATCCTGTCATGAGAAGCAGAGCAGAAGCTGCCGCTCTCCTTCTTTTTTTCTGTCTTCATTTCTCTAAAGGAAACACCTCTCAGGAAATCACAGGGTGGGCTGGGACAGCGGGAGAGACTCGGGGGCCAAATTTAGCAGCGCCATTCAGACTCAGTGTGTGTCTAATCGAGCTAATTTCCTGTGATTGTTGGACGAGCAAAGACAGTGCTGATTAAATATGGGCCTCATGAGGAAACAGGATGCATTTACTCTCCTTTTCCCCTTTCTCTTTTCTTCCCCTCTTTTTCCCTCATTCATCATCCCCTCATGATCTCTCACTCCACCTTTGGCCCTCATTTCATCTGTCTTCTCTTGTCAAACTTTTTAAGTTCTCGCCTTCCTGCCTCTTTATTTCCTCCCATCCGGTTTCCTTTCTGTCTCTGTATGTGCCTTTTTACTGTCTGTCTTCCCTTACCTATCTCTGCTCATGGGATTTTGTAGATATTAAATAACATAATCAAGATATTAAATTGTTGTTATTACAAACACTTGTTGCAATAACATTTGTTCTGTTTTTTCCTTGTTTTCTCTCTCTTCCAGTTGTTCTACCATCTACAGAGAGAGCGCTGCTTCCTTGAGCCAAGAGCCAGGTTCTACTCGGCAGAGATCGCCAGTGCTCTGGGCTACCTCCACTCCCTCAACATTGTCTACAGAGACCTGAAGCCAGAGAACATCCTGCTGGACTCACAGGGACACATCATTCTTACAGATTTCGGCCTGTGCAAGGAGAACATCGAACCCAAAGGGACCACGTCGACCTTCTGCGGTACGCCAGAGGTAAGGACACAATACCCGTCGATTCAGAACTCCCTTTGACAGCTCTCTGTAATACTCAGTGACTTACGTCTTCTCCTCATCTTTCTCTCTTTAAAGTATTTAGCTCCTGAGGTTCTACACAAGCAGCCATATGACAGAACGGTAGACTGGTGGTGTTTAGGAGCTGTTCTCTATGAGATGCTCTATGGCCTGGTGAGTAACATTCAATTTCACCTGACATAATTTTATAGTAAATATACATATATTTTATATATTATATCATATATTGTTAAATGCTACTATGCTTTTGAGTTATACTGTCCACTGTGAATAGCAAAGATATAATTGTTATCTCAGTTGTGTACCATGTGTTTGAACATGAATCTATGCATGATTTCAAATGATACTATCAGTGTTGGTTTTGTAGATTTCTTGCTCCTTGTTGTTGCCAAGATGTTAATCAGCTCTTTTTTTGTCCCTTCCCAGCCTCCGTTCTACAGCCGTAACACAGCGGAGATGTATGACAACATCCTCAACAAGCCGCTGCAGCTGAAACCTAACATTTCCAACGCAGCCAGACACCTGCTGGAGGGCCTGCTGCAGAAGGACAGAACCAAGAGGCTGGGCTGTGCAGAGGACTTTGTAAGTGTTTGGTCATATGATCGTATGTGTGTTTCTGTACACGTATTTACACCTTGTGTGTGTTAAAGGACATCATTTAATTATTCTTAATTTGTCTCTCTTCACAGATTGAAATTAAGAACCACATATTTTTCTCCCCCATCAACTGGGATGACCTCAATGCCAAGAAGATCACCCCTCCATTCAACCCCAACGTGGTATGTTCCTTTTAAATTCTACAATAAGTGCTGATGATGGATATAGTATATAGTATAGTAGCAAAAGTCCACAAATACAGGATTTACATTTACATAACTATATCAAGAGCATGGAACATCCTCCCTGTGAATTAAAACATTTCCAATTATGGAAAGGTATTGTGACTATTACAGCTTGACTAATCTCTGCTTGTCTCCCCTCTCCTTCCCTCCTTCCTCCAGACGGGACCCAATGACCTGCGGCACTTTGATCCAGAGTTCACAGATGAGCCGGTGCCCAGCTCCATTGGCTGTTCCCCAGACAGCGCGCTCGTCACGGCCAGCATCAAAGAGGCTGCCGAGGCCTTTGTGGGCTTCTCTTACGCCCCATCTATGGACTCCTACCTATAGGATTTAAACACAGGCACTCAATACGGACACCAACGCAGACTTACAGGAAATGAGCCGTGGCATGTCCATGGACTTGCATCTTGACCCCACCTTACGTTTCCAATCAGGGTGATGGATTTTTCTGAAGCCTACCCCTGCAACAACTCTGCATCTACAAAGAATTTATCCACATGTACTTGCCATAATCTCTCCAACTCTTAAATGCATTTAAGAAGACTTGCTACAAGAGGATGCCATAATTAAATGACTCATTGGGGTTGAAATCCACCATTTTACTCTGATGTAACAACGCACAAATTCTTCAACCTTCCACAACAGACACAAACGCTCTGCAGCCTTCAATTTCCCATCTCTTACCTGGTAGTGGAGGTCATTTGCACATAGCTCAGGCAGCTTAAAAGCCGACCTCGACCCTAAAGCCACAACTGAAAGCACACACACCAACTTCCATCTTTTCTCAAAAGAGGAAGGCTGGATCGTACTGTACCAGTCCTGAAAGGGATTCCCATCTTCTTCTATGTAGCGAAACATCTTCCCCTCTTCCTTTTGAGATTCTGCCCAACCACCCACAGGGCCCTACCTGAGTTGAGTTTGACTGAGTAGCTTGGAGATGACATTCATTTTGGTGCTTTAGTTTCTTCTCATCTACTTTCCATGTGTTTGAAAAAGGGAGTCATTTTAAGCTGAATGTTACAGAGAGGGATGTTTTATTTTTTCTCTCAAATGTGCCTTTATTTTTTTCTCTCCATCAGAACTCACACATCTTTTGGGTTTTGTCTGTGTCAACCTTAATGTCTCCACTCCACACCTGACTGCAGGTGGGAGGAGCTGTTTTTTGAAGTCACCAGAGAAGAGCGATGTAGCTCTGAATTAATACACCTGTCTTTAATGTGTGAGACGTAGGAACTCAAACGATGTTTCATATCTTCATTTGCACATAAAACGATAATGGTAATGCTGATCGAGAGAGAGAAAGAGAGAGCACTGCTGCTAGGTGAGAAAGAGAGTGATGTGTTCAGAAGTGTTTGTGTAGTTCTGCTTGCCAACTGTGTCCCCTTCACGTAGTCTTCCATTTGCCTCACAATAATGTAACGGTGGCCTTCAGCCGAGCTGACGACATCGGAACTGAACATTCCATTTTAATATTGCTGTAATGCAGTTTGACGGTATTTAAGTTTGTTTGTATATTTGGAGTCATGTGTACTAGTTTTAATGTATATTGAACAAAAAATGACTAAAGGTATGCTTAAATATGTATATGTAACAATTCATGTTAAATGTACTGTAAATTGTAAAATTGTTTAAGATTTATGTGACCATGTTTGGTTTGCAATAAAAGTTTAACTTTATTACACCTTATAACTGTGTTTTTGATCATTTATAAATGGACTACATGTACATGAAAGTGCTTAATTTCATTAGTTTTTCTTTTGTCTTACATATGCACATTTTTTTAGTTTTTACATAATCTTGACATTGCCAGTGAATCAGTGGCCACAGAAAAAAAAAGCACACAAAGTTAGATAATAAACTGAAAAATTTAAAGAATGAAGATCAAATGGTAATCATTTACTAGTCCTGGTTGAAGAGGGCTTGAGCTACTGACCACTTCCATCGTACAATGTCCCACATAAGTGTAGAGTGGACTTTACCCTGGTACATGCGTCAGCAACCTTACACAACGATGATGGTGACGTCCAAGTGTGTGTGTGGACCGGATCTGTTTGCAGGCAAATTATTGATTGATAAGGCTATTGCAGGTCAAACAATATTAATGAACCCAATTCATTTCAGCAGCTCTATATTGCACAAGAGGAGCATTGATTTTGATACAAAAGCAACATGGATGATAAATAAAGCAGGAATGACATACAGTGTGCTCTATAAGATTACAGCTGGGTGGTGTGTTGATGAGGGAGAATGTCCTTCTACTGGAGTTCAAGGTTGTGTCCATGGTTAATTGAGTCTGCTGGGGTGTCTTTGAGGAGGACACTGAATGTCTAACAGATCCAGGGGGTTATTGTGTGGGTGACCTCTGTCCTCTAGCTTCCAGAAGGAGAAGGTAAAGTAAAAAAGGAATTTTGTAGCCACAAAGATTTACATTATAAGAGGACTGCAGGGAAGGTGTCCTAGTGGAAACCCATAAACATTTTAACTTTCTGGACTTGTCTAGCCAATGGTTTGTTGGTCTGAGAAGTTCCTTTAAAATGTCTCAGGTTTAAAAATAGAAATATAATTGGGGAAATTATTCATTATTTTTTAAAGCCACTACAAAGTGTTCTTCAGAATGAGAAAATCCTGATAACATCTTTTGGAGCTGCTATTTATCTAAAATGAATGAAAAACCTGCATGTGTTATATGTGAGACAGACTATTCAAATCTGCTCTTTGTGTCTATGCATGCTTATTACTTACATTTAACTACTGCTATAGTAGTTTTTACCATCACCATCTTACTCATTATAGTCCACTGGTCTTAGCTTATGGAGAGGGTAAACAAAGTTACTTACTGCTGGCTGCTCAGGGCGCCCTATAGCTCACCTGCTAGAGCTGGTCCCTCATCAGAATCAGAATCAGAAATACTTTAATAATCCCAGGGGGAAATTACTATTGTTGCAAACTCCAGATATACATACATAACATACATAACATATATTATGAACATATATATATATATATAAAGATAGAATGTACAGTATAAAATGTGCAAAAAGTGCAAAAAGTATTGCCCGTGTTTGAGTCAGATTACAGAGAGGGGCTGTCTGACTCTCTGAGGGAGGCGTATAGTTTGATGACCCCAGGCAGGAATGATTTCCTGGGGTGCTCTGAGGTGCATCTGGGTGAGAGGAGTCTTCTGCTGAAGGTGCTCCTCTGCTGAGCCAGTGTGTCGTAGAGAGGGTGTGAGACATTGTCCAAGATAGATTATAGAGGGTCCAGCTCCTCCCCCACGACATCACCAGCCCTCCTGATCAGTTTGTTTAGTCTGTTGGTATCTGCGACCTTCAGCCCGCTGCCCCAGCATGTGACAGCGAAGATGATCGCACTGGCCACAACAGACTCATAGAACATCCTCAGCATCGTCCGGCAGATGTTAAAGGACCTCAGGAAAAAGAGTCGGCTTTGGCCCTGCTTGTAGACAGCCTCTGTGTTTCTGGTCCAGTCCAACTTATTATTAAAGTACACCCCGAGGTACTTGTATTCCTCTACGGTGTCCACAGGGACCCCCTGGATGGAAACAGTGGTCACTGGTGTTTTCACCCTCCTCAGATCCACTATGAGCTCCTTTGTCTTTGTCACGTTGAGTTGCAGATGATTCAGCTCACTCCAAGTGACAAAGTTGCCCACCACAGTCCTGTATTCACTCTCATCACCATTTTCAATACAACCAACTATTGCTGAGTCATCAGAAAACTTCTGAAGGTGGCAAGACTGTGCAATAGTTGAAGTCTGATGTGAAGAGGGTGAAGAGGGTGAAGAGGAAGGGAGCGAGGACAGTCCCCTGTGGGGCCCCAGTGTTGCTGACCACCCTGTCAGACACACAGTTCTGTAGGCGTACGTACTGTGGTCTGCCCATCAGGTAAACAACAATCCAGGACACGATGGGGGCCTCCACCTGCATCGCAGCCATCTTCTCACGCAGTAGAAGATGGCTGCGATGTACCAAGACTGAGTCTGAACTGCAGCGGCCATGGGTTTGAGCCCAACCTTTGCTGTGTGTCATCCTCTCTCCTTCTCCCTCCTTTCCTGTCAATCTTTAGCTGTCCTATCCAATCAAATCCAAAAATGTATAAATAAAATGAATTGCTAGTTGCCCACATAATGTATAGGTATAGAAAATGTGGTCACATGTGTGGAATATTTTGGATAGTATCAGAATACAGTGTGATCGTTATTAGCTCACATGAAGTTTATAGTTCTCTGTCTTTTGTAAAACTGATTGGGCTTGAAGATGCACTACAATTTCTCCAGTTCTGCTCAGTAGTCACAGTAAAACACTGCCATCTGCTGGCTAAGCCTTGAACTGAAAGTGGAGGCAGAGGAGGGAGACAAGAAGCATGGAGCAGATAAATCCAGTAAAGCTTCATTGTGACTAAGAATTAAGGGCTTTCATGAGGAACTGCCATTACTGCCATTTTATTATTCTATATGATATAAAAAGTAAATAAATACACATTTGCTTTGCTGTGTAAAATACAGTAATATATTGTTTAATGTTATATGTGACGTTACAGTCTGAATGGACTTTCAGAGCCACCAATCCCCCTGGAAGTTGATCAAATGGGAGATGCAGCCTACCCACTTATTCTTGGACAAGATATCATCACATTCTTTCAAAGGTGAGTTTGAGATGACTCTGACATTGTCATTATTGATCTTGGCAGTTTTGTCAACATTAGATGATGATAATAACAATCATCAAGTTGAGGATACTGATGCAAATGCTAAGCACGTAGCAGAAGTAGCAGAGGATCTATGGCCTGGAGGATCCAGAGGAAGTCTAGAGAGGACAATAAAGGTGAGGAGAGCAGCAAACGTTTCCAGTGGAGGGATGACTTTTCTGCAAGTAACTCTGAAGAGGACTCTCTGCCTTGAGGCTCCTGCAAGTGGGACATTTTAAAATAGAGATCAAACTTTATTTGTTGCTTTTTAGAAACCAGTTTCACAGTTTTAGAAACCAAAGTATTTTTACAGAATACTCAAATAGATAAAACATTCAGTTGTACCATCCTGAAAGTGACATGAAAGGATGCAGTTTAACCTCTAAGACACAAGACACTGAAGCTTAGAAACAATGGCAATCAGTGTTCAAAGGCATGTAAGAAGAATTTTCAAGTAAATAAGGGACATTTAGAGAGTCTGTGGTCATATTGATATTTATAGAGGCATTTCATTATGGGATTTGACTGTTGTATGGGGAAATTATGCAATTTCTTCCCACATATTTTGTTTTATTGCTTTTTAAAAATTTTTTTATGAGTGTTCTGTTTGCTATTTTAGATTAGCCTGTCATTTATTTAGGCCTCATGTAATCCAGCTGTATACTGCTGTGTCATACTGGCCTTTTTCATAACTCAGTCTGCACACCTCTACAGAATTGAGTCTTCGCCACATGACAACCAGCAGTTTGAGTATATATATATGGGGCTTCTGTCCCCACTAGCAGCAGAGCCTGATGATGACAGCGTTTGTTGCTATGATTATACTGTGGCATTTGCTTTTATGATGGCTGGAGTCACTGCAGCACTCTGACATTTTCTATAACCATTTCCATTAGGCTATAGAGCAGGCAGCCAAAACATGAAGAGATGCATTCACAGAGTCCATTCTCAGTGATAAATGCAACAAAATAAAAAAGAAATACACAGGCTCAGGGAAATGTGGGGTTTTTCCCGTTTTTTTTTTGTAGTGTTGTGTTTGCGGAAGGATGAAGAATCATGAAAAAAAAACATTTAATAAATTTATAGAAGAGGTGTCTCGTGTATGACCACAGTTAATTACTAGTAACATACTAACTAATAACATACATACTAAGTAATAAATTAAATAAACTTTTCTAAAACTTTATTTATTTTAGTGGTGAATCAGGTTCCTCTGTTCTTATACTATTACTCCACTAGATGTAGGGAAACAGTAGTTCCACATGGTTGCACTGTTTCCCTTCCCTTCATCATAAAAACCTGATTGTGTATGACAGCTATCACTGGATCATCATTTAATCACAGCATTATCATTTGAAGCGTTGAACTATCAGAACCCATCCTGATGATAAACACTTGTTAGGTCCAACAAGTGAATTCAGTGATATTAATTACTTTTCAATAGTTTTAAGACTGGCAGTGGAAAATGCGAGGTACTTTATTGTATGAATCTTATCTTTCTTGTAATTCTTTGTTGCATTACTTGCATTTTCTGTAATTTGATTGTGTGTGAGTTACAGCATATGACATCTGACTAAATCAGAACTTTCTCAAAAAAAAAAAAAAAAAACACCTTCTTATTCTTAGGAACTTAACCTTTGAATATGTGGATTCTTGCCATTACCTGGTTAGGGGTAGTTTTAGTAACTTGGTAACAGCAGATATGACATGTTGATTTTCCAACAAATTTTACTTTATATGTGTTTGAGTGTGACATGGTGAGAAGGGGAGAGAGCCAGAGAAAGGAAGGTGTAAATGCCTTGTGTATGTGATCGTGTGAATTCAAGCAAAGCATATGCATCTGTATTTGTTGAGTTAGAAAGTTAGAAAGCCATTTTTGGGGGATTTGTTGTGTTATACTGTATGTGAACTCCATATGTCATTTAGAATAACGAACCCTTCCACCTAATAAAATGGTCAAGAATTAAAACTACTTCCAGTGCC